ATTCACAAGACAAACTGTGCCATCAGACTGAAAACTTCAAAAAAGTTAAGTGATCAGATGCTCTTATGATACTTAAGTCCCCTAAGGATTGATCATGATTCTTAGTTTAAAATTTTGATTACTTCACATGCAAACCAAAAGAGGCAAGAATTTTTACAGAGGGAAAAGAACAACCAATGCATTACCTCAAAACACTCTAAAATGATAATCTGTTCAGGTTGTCTTTCAGCAGCATGATGCAGTAATTAAAAAATTAAAATGTTTAAATGAGGCCTCAAGCTTAAACTACTTAAACAAATTCGCTACATTCCTCGCGGGAATATCTAAGTATCGCCTGCCAGAACAATGACTATAAAGGCATAACTAATACAAAGGATAATAGATTTCTTTGTTTGTAAATCGTACGTACGCAGGTATATCCGCGGCAAAAACCACAAATACTATAAGATTATAACGCAAACGAAACTACAAAGGGTTCGATAGGAAATACCTGGGAAATACGAAAACCAGAAAATATTTGGCGGTAACAGAAGCCTTGCGCTTATTTAGAACAAACTCGGTTATGGAATAATTGGAGTTAAAGAAGAAAGAATTTTTAACTCCCCTTACAGAACGAGGCTACCTCTGGGATCTTGTGGAAACAATCCTAATCCTAGTCCGCTTCGAATCGCGCACTGTGGCTTTACAAGACAAACCCAAAACATCAAAAAAGATTTTGCCGTTTGTAACGACTTTCAATCTTGCAACTCCGATTCTCAAAAAGATTCTAATAAAACGCTAGCACCTTATTACAGGCAAAAATCACTCGCGCAAATATATCCTAACGCCGCCAATGTTGCTTATCGCAAGGAAAAGATCTCTAAAAGATTTTCTTTTTAGAGCCAACATTTCTTCATGAACACTTTAACAACAACATTAAAGGAGTTTTATACACCGTTACGGTCGAGTGACAATATTACTAGACCAAAACATGGCACGTAATTCGCATTATATACCTGGTCCGTGTTTTATATACACCCAGTCTGCAGCCCGTGGTCCGCAGTTGGCAGTCCGTGGTCCTTCATCTAAAACGCTCTACCCTGCGTAGCGTAATGCTGCAAGGTTACAATATTAGTCTTTAAGCTCGTTTTTAGCACCACATTTGAATTTACTGTTGGGTATATTAGCTTCCTAGATAATTATAATCTTACTTGATCTCTTTTAATGCCTGCGTGTAATTTTCCCTTCTTTCTCTTGTTTTCTCGTATTTTTGCATTATTTTTTCTCACTTTTTCTTTTTCTTTTTTGTACTTGCATGTTCAGTCTGATCTATTTTTATCCTATTTAATGATTATTTTCTATATTGTAAAAAAATTGTATGTGTTTAGTTAAATTTTCTTGCCTGTGCCAATATTTTATTTAAGCCTTTGAATTAAGCAGGAGCCGATTACTTAAAGTCATATTTTTTTAAAGGTTGGGCTCCCTTGCCTCATCTTTCTAAATTCTGTGTATGTTCAAAACAAACGAAAACAATGAACTATTGTACCAAGGTCGCCAAGAAAGTAATTAACTTGGACAAGCTCTGTTGCGTTAGATTCGTGCTAAAGAGCTGGCACGACTTTCGTATTTTCTGATTCAATGATGGTGCTCGATTGAAAATATGAAATTTTTCAAGACAACGACAAAACGTTTGAGTTTAGAAATATGATTCGGATAGCTCAGTATTTATAATCAGCTCGAGATGTTTACTGTTTGTCGCGGTTTGGATCATTAGTGCTATTAAAACTTGAAATGTGAAAATAATAGCTAATTACAGATAACATTTAATACAGGTACAAAACTGTGAAAGTATTACGTAATACTAAGGAGCGCAAAGAAACAGAAAATAACAGCTTGATTCGGATACTTCTTGTGAAAATGTATGTTATAGATCGTTATGAAGCGTTAAACCTAAGGGTACGTGAGGGAAAGAGGGCGTTAAAGTGTGTCAGAAATAGCTATTAATCAATACTGTACTTCTAACAGAGGTGTCGAGTAGTAGTCCAAAAGTGTTCGCCAGCAAGTTCGAGGACCAATGGTCTTCAGCAAAATGAGACATCGATAGGAGACGCGTTGTTTCGCCAAGACTCTTTAAATTAAACGACGCTGCTTGTTTGCCGGGATATTACCGTATCTACTTTGTTGTTGTTCTGAGAAATGTCTCTGTCTTTAATCATCAGACATTAATTGACAAGTAATAAGTAGTATTCTTATACACACTTGAAGCCACAACCATATTATCCTCAGTATTGTAATTTACGGGAAATCAAAGAACCTAAACTCGGGAGGGAAAAGACCCCCAGGTAGTACTCCCTATATAAATGGGGTGTACGGGGAGGCTCTACCCGAAAGGGTACCTTTTTCAGGCTTTAGAAATATATAAGGGTAGGGATCAGGGGCACCCAACGAGAATATAGTTCAAAACCACTCAAAAGTATTTTAGTATTTAAACGGTAGATATAGGCACACTTTTATCCCCTAAAAATTTTTCATCTGTTCGGATTTCCTAGCTGAAAGTATAGTGATCCGAAAATTTTAGGGATCAAGACTTACCCTTTTCGAAAATTTCAGCCAGAAAAAAAGGCTCCCGAAAATTCTAGGTGACCTTTTTAGGGTAAAAATCCGGTAAAAATGGGCAATTATACCATTTTTTAGATGTTCGAAAGTCCTAGGAGAGGCAGGCAAGCAAGAAAAGTTACAACAAATGTTCCGAAAATTCTAGCTCTCAAATCGTCTTCCGAACAGATATTTTCTGAAAATTGACGTTGGGTGCCCCTGAGGTATTTCACCAGTTGAAGTATATAAACGGGTAGGGAAATCTGTGATTTCGATCTGTAAAAAGGCCCAAAAGGGCTACTGACTAGATGTATTTTATGGATGTAAAAAGTCGAGAAACCGTTCTGGTTTTCATTTATTCATATTTTAAGGACTGAGTGCATTTACAGCAGTAAAAGGGATGCAAAAATTTGTGAAAGGGGTACAATTTATCAATTGAAGGTTACAAAACGGGTACCTTTTCTGTCAAGAATGGTATATAAAAGGGTTGGACATTTAAAACTTTGCTGAGTAGCCCCTCTCCCCCCTCCCCCGCACCCCCGTGGTGAAGTTCTTAACAAACTTGAATAAAATTCTGATCCACACACACCTCCCTTGACTTTCATTCTGCACCAGACATACTTTTCAGTAACGGGGCATAGCATTTCCTTTAAGTTATATTTTTTCCACACAAAGAACATGTTTGGGAACGAACGTTGTTTTTCAAATTCATTTGTTCGTTGATTATTTCCATTACATCTTCAAGTTTATTTGTAGTTTTCCTTTATTTTTAGTTTTTTTATTTGTCACGTCACTCAGAGCTCTAAAATACGAAAGTGAAATAAATTGTTGAAAGTGGATGTTATTGGACGCGTCGAATTTCTGCCGCTACTACAGGACATTTTCAACTTTGCATTCATTTATGCTAAGTTTTTACTTTTACTATCAATAGTAACTCCCGTTATTGACCACTCCAGAAAATACCATAACATACCATAATGCTCTTTGTTAGTCACCCCAAAATTTTGCATAAGCATTGTCTTCAGTTTCTCTTGGGAGTTAAAATCGCCCCGAGAGAAACTGAAAACAATGCTTATGCAAAATTTTGGAGTGACTAACTAAGAGCATTATGGTATGTTATGGTATTTTCTGGAGTGGTCAATTGAGGAAACCGTCGGGACCGAGAGAGTTCGTAACAGAGGAGAACGATAAGAACTGAAATTCCTTTTAAAAAGATTTGTATTACGTGCTCAGTGGAACCTCGGTTTAGAGGCCAAGGAGCTGTCATCAAAATATGTTCGCTATACAAGGTTTCGTTATATTGAGGTTTTTTTCCATATACAGTAAAAACCCGCAACTAAGAACCTACATTTTTAGGAGTTAACCTAAACAAGTTCTTATATAAATGGTACAAACAGAATTTTAGGCTATTTAGGTTCTTAAAATGGGTTCTTAATACTGGAGAAAAAACAATGCATAATGGTGTGCTGATCTACACATTGCTTAGTATCCTTTGTAAGTCTGCATATCTTGCACTCATTTTTCTTTAAAAAACATTTTTACAACAATGGCAATCTGCTTTTTTTCTTCAAATATGATTCTTGCAATGCAGCTGTGCATGTAATGTACTAGTATGATTTTAGAAAGTAAGAACCTGTTTTAAATTTCTTAGGCTAAATAGGTTCTTGTTTATAGAGGGTATAAATGACCAATTTTAGGCTAACAGGTTCTTAATTTTTAGGTTCTTAGTTGCGGGTTTTTACTGTATCTTTTACGATTAGTGCTGGGGCGGAAAATATCGTTCGTCATACCGATGACCTCGTTATTTTTAATTTAGCGGAGACTCGTTACATCGAGGTTAGTAGTGGGCTAACATGTATTTAATTTACAACAATTCCGATCTGATTGATGCACAACAGAAGAATCGTAAAATCCAAATGAATCAGAAAAAAGAGTAACATGCGAATTCGAAATGATTTTAAGAAATCTTTTTGTTTGAGCTCTAGTCTAAAAATGATGACTTAATTTCTACATATACCAGGTCTGAAAACGGGCATGGATTTAAGAGACCGGGTCTGACAACGGGTGTGGAAAATAACATTTTTTGGTCTGAAATAGGGTCAGGATTTGGAGAACCTTCTATTATAACGAACAGTCAACGGCGAATTCATACTCCTTCAAAATCGCTGAAAAAACCGCTTTTGAGGTAAAACGACGACTATATACCACAGGTAAGGTAATTCAACGTTTAATAATCATTGATTTATATACATAGTTAGCGACATATCGCTATAGGTGAGGCAAACGGTAAATCCAGAACATTTACTATAAAATAACAATCGGCTACACAAACAGATTGTGCGGGCTTCCTGTGGTAAGGCAACAGAGACACAATTGTTAACAGACATGTTATCTGTATGTACCACGTTTTTTAACAATACAGCAAAACCATTAATGTCTGTGAAGTTTTTGGTCAACGGTACACACACCACAAGTCACATGTACCGCAGGCGGAAGACCTTACCGTTGACAGTCAAGTTGTTGGGTTGCCTTTGCCGACTGTAACTTGGCGTCATAGGCAACAACTGATTACACCATCAGTAAGAAAAATGGTAAATCTTCGTATAGCGGCTGAAATTTTGTTTTTATATGAATATGAAGACATATCATAAAAAGGACCAAACTTAATTCCGTTCACTCAAGCTTCTAAGAGTTCTTCCTTTCTGTCCTTTCTTCGGCTTTTTCTATGTCGATTCTATGAGAAGATCAACTCCTAAACTGGTCCCTGCCATTACGGAGTCATCTTACCAACTCGACTCTATTGTGCAGACAACTCTCTAAAATGTGTTTCATCAGAAAGTGGGAAGAATGAAAAATGCTGGAAAAAATGCGACGGTATTCATCCTGCCACTTACGACATGCTTAATTCAGAAGTGAAGTGTTGGCAGGGTCATGACATTTTAGGCCAAGCTCAAGGGGAGGGTTTTAGCAAATTTCACTGCCATTGCAGGGATGGGTCACCTCATTTCCGAACCCAAATTTAAAATTGCCACCCCCCTCCCCCCTGCAAATTTCTGACAAGTCCCTTAGCAGATAACACGACAAGACGAATACTTAATAGTGCGGCCCTACAATGTGTTCGTCTTGACCGAATTGGCTGTACTCCCGCTGCTAACGAACTCTGTCGTGCCCAATTATGACATAAATGTTCTAACCTTGGACTACTTCCCAATGCTCCCGCGTTCTTGAAAGGCGCAGCTGTACAGCTACAACTTCGCATCAAAGGAATTCAGAGAGCAGACGATGGAGTTTACAGTTGCAAGGCTGCAAACCGTCGCCTACGTTACAATCATATCCATCACATGCACTAAGTGTCTGGGGAACCGACATTATTTTTATTATCTCTTAATTGTTGATTGTTATGTCATAACAATCAACAATTAACACTGAATTAAGAGAGAATAATTACAATGAGTACAGTCGGCTCCTGGTACAGTATGATTCTCGGTGGTGCAATACAAGTTTTTATTTGACACTCCCTCAGAAGGGTTTTCCTTTTTATTAACAAATTTTAAAGAGCAATGTTACTCGAAAGTTAAGTACTAGAAAAATACGATGCAAAGCTGGACTAGGCATTTGAATAGAGGACATAAAATGAAAATTCTATTTTGAAAAACGTCTGATCAAGCCCGTAAGCAGGTTTGTCTTCTAATAGTTAGCAAATGTAAATGAGTGAATCCAAACCGAAACAACAACCGCCTGCCAATTAAGGTCGATGTTTAGCGGGACTGAATTTTACCATTTCAGTACTTAAAAAATTCAAGTAAAAGCTAGACTATGACAGATTCATGAATAGTACGGTATATGTATATGATAAGCACCACTCAATTTTTATAGTGTTTTACTCACTCGTTTTTATATCAGAAATCTCACACAATCTTCCGACACGTCAAAGACAAGTGTTAAAATACCTTACCATAAAGTATTCTATGTTACTGGATCATTGTCTTTGATTACGACAACTAAAGTGTCCTGTTTTCCAATAACAACGTTGGGTTGTGATGGTGGATCCACAAGAGATAACTGCAGCTTAAATGCTTCATCACCTTCATGGACTAAATCATCAATCAACCAGTACAAATAGGTAACAATTAACTGGTTAAAACCGGGTGGAAAATCATCGATCCCTGGGAATAACGGACGTAACCTATGGTCTTCATCAGTGGCGTTTATATTCTCCAAGCTAATCCTAAATGCAAAAAAGAATCCATATTTACAAAATAAGTACATAAACTAGGATTTATTTTTTGACCTTTGCTACCCTTCATGGGGAACTCAAGATTTTAACTGTCATTACTAGAAAGTGGGGTCGTAAGAAACTTTTGTAGCCCTATATGACTTGATTATTTCAGATGAAGGAAAAGTTAATCTTCACATAAATTTCCCAAAATAAACAACGCTTTAACCCTTTAAGCCCTAAGGGTAATCAGCATCAAATTTGACATCAAAATGTTTCCACAGCCACTTGCAGAAATACTTAAGACAGTGACCTTGGCTTAACTGGCCTGCCCATGCACAAAACTTGGAGGAACATCTTTGAGTGGAGGGGAGAAGGGAGGAGAGCGATTTGAGGTAAGAAAGGTCTGTTTTTCGTCGGATTGTCTTAGCGTTTTTGCAACTGGTTGCAGCTATCATTACTTTGAGTTGGGAAATGTATATGATGATTATGGTGATGGCAATGATGATGATGTTAACACCAGGGGCGGATCCAGAAAATCCAGAAAGGGGCGGCTAGTACTCTTTTCAGCAACATAGATACTATTTATTTTACTGAGAATTCTTTAAAAATAATAAAAAAACATCATAGAAAAAGGGGTGGCCGTGGTCCTCTCGGAAAACCTCTAAATCCGCCCATGAACACTGTATGCATATAAATAATCCAGGCTGTAAATATTATTGATAAGGTTTCAGCAAAAAGTGGCCCGGTAACTTGCCGTGTTCTGGTTTGTGGGATGGTGATTTCTAAAATTCAACCACGAGATAACGTATAGGAAACTTCCACAAGGTTAGCCTGCGCACAGCGGAGAACTCCTTGTTCTAGGCTGTGTACCAGGATTTGAGTACACACTGTGATTGGCCTGTTAAAAAAGTCATTGTTGATTTGTCAATCAGGTTGAAAGGAAATTCGAAACGCAAACGCAAACGCAAACGCAAACGCAAACCTTGGGGGCCCCCAACAAGGATTTTGCTTCTCGAACGTTACTAACCGGGGTTAAATTACGTCTGCGACGCGGGCTACCACAAGGATAACTGTTCAATCATTATTTTTTTTCACCTGATTTCAGCACCAAGGTCGATATCTCCATATTTAATGATGACCAAATCCAGTTCTGCATCAAAACCTAGACCCTCGTCCACCGTGATTTTTGTTTGGTTGAACTCGAATAGGGCTCCTGAAAACAAAGACATAAACGACAATTCCTGTTGGCACTCCAATAGTCATATTCATCCGTTTTCAAAAGGTTTTTCCTGAGAGAGATAGATAGATATAAAGAGAGATGACGTCACATCCGCCATATTGGTATCCCCAAAACACTAAAACTACGGTTGTGACCAGAATGGATACCTTAAAATCAGGTCGGACAATTTATTTTTATTACATAACGCTATACTCTATACCACGCCATACTATATTTATGCGGATTTATTGGGCAGTTTTGAGAAAAGTGGGGAAATCAGACTAAGAGACAATTGTGCGAGGAAAAGAGTTGACTACAGGGTTTAGCACCGAAGTACGGTGGTTAGGGTTAAGCACTGTTTTAAAAACGGTGAGCTTGCAATAATGTAATGATCAATGCCATGTAAAGTACGTTAAAATTAACCGCTGTCGGCAGTTGGCCCCTGATGGTGTAGTGGAAACGGATATGGATTATACATCAAATGACGCAGGTTCAAGTCCTACATCCTACCTACTGTTTTCTTTCGTCTCTTATTTACTACTTTAAATTATTCTTCGCGAAGCGCCGAGCGAACTGAGTTTAAAATCTCGTCGCGCGCGAAGCGCGCACGCAGTGTGTGAACCGTGCGTGGGTCCTAGCGAGCTGCAAACTGGCTCTCATCTTAACTTGTTCTCGCAGAGCGAGCAGCCGTTAGGCCGCGAGCGAAACGAGTTTATAACTCTGTCGCACGGGCAGCGCGGATCACGCGAGGATCGCAAGCGAACTGCGATTTCGCTTTGGTCATAAATCGTTCTATCGGTTTGGTATCCGAAGTTGCCTAGCAACAAACCATAAACAAATCCCAAAGACGCGATTCAACATGCCGTCATCGTACATTTTGGGTTTCCAGGCAACACGGCCAGCGACTTGGGCTCATTTTATTCACCCTGTGTTTACTGTACGTCGGCGAATCGCAAAGTATTTCTGAGGCAAATAACAGCGGGCTGCAAACACAACAGTGCCCCGTTGGAGAAGTGGCTGGAAATCCTCGCCGTGGAAGGTTTAACACCGATGACGGTAACCTGAACTTCAGCGAGAGCAGAAGCCCGAGAGTGAATAAACTCGGAAATTATGCGAAATGGTTTTGAAATACTCGTTTAAGCTATTTTTCCTCAAATGTATCTTTGAATTCATGATAAATACAGCTCCACAAGGTTCAAACACTGTGAATGGCAGAGAAAATACCTCAAGACTATTAATAGAGACCTTTAGATTCGAGGGCAAGAACGACTACGAGTACGAGATTTGATTTAAAGTTTTTTTCGTGTATTGTCAAAAAATAGACACCCCGGAATTCTTAATTGTACCTTTTTTTACCAGAAAATTTAGCACTGTTATCGTTATTGAAGGAGGTTGAGCCCTCTCCAGATTGCAAAATGCTAAAACTTCTAACATTTGATAAGTTGTTTCCGCCACTACGACACTCTCGCTAAAACTCGTAGTAGAGTGACGACGGCTACCATGTTTTCCCGCCAAAATGACGCTGCCCCACGCGCGAGCAATACTTACTATTGAGAAAATCTCGTATTCGTAGTCGTTCTCGTCTTAGAATCTAAAGGTCACGGCGCATTTTTGTTTCTAGGCAACATTTTACTGAACGCGATTTTCGAGTTCTCACGAAGAGTTGTCTTTTCATCGTTTGCAAAACAATGTTTACTATCGGTGAATCTCAAGCCATTTCTCACGCAAACAGAACAGCAAACACAAGAACGCCGAATTGTCAATCCTCGCAGGGGAAGATTTGACACCAAAAAATTCTTTGGAGCGAGAACGCCGACTTGAAATTAAACGGCGCAAGTAACAAAGATGGAGACGGCAGCAACAAATAGCGGAGCAGAGGGAACATCACTCAATGAATTTCCAATGCTAAAGTACTTTAAGAGCAAATGGAAGCGATTTTGGATAATTAGCGTTAACATATGAGCGAACATCGCGGTAACAAAACGCGTTTTGTTCGCAGACGAGTATATACCGTATCGGCCTTGACTGTTGGGCTTCCATTCTTTACATGTAAATGCGATGAAATGCATTTACGTTGGGTTTTCACTGTCCAAACTGCAGGATCCTGCAGTCATTCTTCTGAAAAATATCTTTGAAGTCACGTTTAATAAAGCCTGAAGGTTTTAATAATAAAATTTCAACAGGACTTCTTTCCTGTGTTCTACGTGGCCTAGTGGTAAAGCTTTAGCCCGGTGTGTCGAGGGTCCTGAGTTCGATTCCGCGCGTAAACCTTTTTTCTTTTCGCTTCTGTTCTTTTCTTTTCTTCTTTTTTTTTTCTTTTTCTTTTCGTTTAGTTATCATTTTAGATATAAGGGTTTTGTTATGTTTCTATTTGTAGCTTACAATTTTTAGACTTACAAATTTTCTTCTCGGCTTTATGTATCGAAGTCGAAGCTTCAACATCCCCCAGGGCCACCCCTCTGGCATTTGACTTTTTTGAAAATTATTGTTCAAATTCCCCCCCTACCCGGGCCAAAATGCCGTTCAAATGCCCCACACTAGGGTCCATTCAGGTGAGCAAATGCCCCCACCCCGGGGACATTTCACAGGCACATAAATGACAGAAGGACGGCGGAAAAGCCTTCAATTGTCGAACAAAATCTTCATAGATACAGCAAATAATTCGCATTCAATATATAACAAAAACTGAGGAGCACGGTTAGCGTATTTACTACGAACAAAAGTCTCGTGCAAAGCGGCGGAAATCGCTGCTACAAGGTCACTGAACGCTCAGAGTTTCTTCGTGCGTCATGAAACAAACAAAGCGTTCTTTAAAAAAAATCCAACCTACTGAGATTACTACATCATGACAAATTCACTGACATGAATCATCGCTCAGCTTATTAATTAACATACATGCGGCAGGTCAAAGTAATTGACCTCTGTTGGAGCTTTTTATTGTTTTATTGAATCGCCGGTATAGGTATTGTAATTCATTATAAACACAACCAAGAGACTATAAAGGGGACAGAGAGGGCATCCCCCATATACACCCTATTCCATAGGTAATTCGTCTCGAGTTATTTTTAGAATCGGGATAAAGTTACCTCGCGCGAGGCGTGGATGTTTCGTGGAGGTTTCGCATGACCAAACGCCGTGCAAAACATGTCGGGCGAGAGGCAATGAAAGCGTAAAAAGATCGAGAGCATTCCTGAATATTGAAGCGAAATGAGTCGGCGCTCACCTGGGAAAAAGGAATCGCTGGACTCTTTGACAACCCGTGAAATCAGTTTAACTCGAAGTTGTCGTAACCTCAGTGCTTTAATAAAATGAGAAATTTCGCCGGTCTATTGAAACCGGTCGTTTGTACAATTTAGGGAGTTTAAGATCCAACGACGCGGACGACAACTAGAACGTCAAAAAAACAATAGGTTTAATTAGCAAAACAACAACTTCGCACGTGCAACACACTTTTTTGTTCATTTCTTTCCCGTTTTTGCACGACTACGACGTGAAAATGCCTAATTTCGCGTTTTATGGAGGACGTAAATAAGCAACGACGAAATTTTATTTCTCTTTCTGAGCTTGAATATGGTCCCTTGAAATTCAGCTTTAGGAGGGTTCGCCTACAATTGACAAAGTAAGTGGGTAGGAATAATCGCTATAAAGACTGAAAAAAATAAACATCAAACCAGAAATTGCTCTCTTCAAACTGTAAATTATAAATGATCCTGAGAGAATATTCAGTGTGTTAAGGATTTCCCTGCTCTACTGTTAGCTCTATACAAGAGAGGAAGGGCGATTCTTTTTTAATTTCGGTTTCGCTGACACAGCTTTCGCAGAAATCTCGCTGTAGTCGTTTTCGTCGACAAAAGGAATAGCAAAATCGCTCTCCGCGTCTTCCCCCATTTTGTTCTGCGTCATTTCGTGAAGGACGCGTGGCTCTCAGCGTGGGTCATCCACGCGGACATATTCGCGCTATGTGATTGGCTGTTGTCTGATCCCCCTTGAGATCTATGGTGTTAAAAATAACTCGAGACGAATTACCTATGGAACAGGGTGTATATGGGGGATGCCCTCTCTGTCCCCTTTATAGTCTCTTGACACAACTTAATACATTCAATATATTCAAAGCCTGAATCCAATATTAATAATATTACAATTTAAATACCTTCAAATACGGCACAAATCTTGTAACCAATTGGCCACAAAGGCACAATCTTTTCCACGAAAATCCCCCAAGACAGCTCGCCACGCCAGAGATTTCACATGAAATCGAGGGTACAGTTTAAATTCCCACCCCTAACGCATGGGGATCAAATTCCCCACCCTCCGGAAGACTCTGATAATCAAATTCCCTCCTCCCCGGGACGGCAAAGGTGTCAAATGCCCAGGGTATGCCCGGGGGGGATGTTGAAGCTTCGATTTGACCGATACATTACTTGCCGTTCCCCCGAAGTCCTTCGCGAGGTCCTGCGAATACCTATTGTTGGTTTTCACATGACGTCA